CGCACATCTGATATCTATGGCCGGCCTGCAAAATTTGGGCTACCGATATCCATGCTGGAAATTCCATACTTGTACCAAAAATACAGTGTGGAATCAAGCTATAATAAAAAAAAATAATGGATAAATTATTAGGTGTTATTTTCAGTTTGACCACGGATTTACATCAGTGAAGGGAACATTAAAAACCAGGGACTATCGGAGTGTTTTGTTCTAGTTTGGGGCTCTCTGATAGTAATATGCCCACACACGACCCTGCGCCCAGGAATCGAACCTAGAATCTTCAGGTTACTGGACGGTCTAGTTGCATCCATTCAGAGCCAATTAAACGGGATACAGTAGATCAAGAATTCTATTACCAATGTCAATCACTGTCATTGGAGAGTATTTGACGTCACGCCCGACCCGGTGAACCCCACTTGTTCACCACTTCTCATAAGAATTTCAAGTCACTTCGTTGTGTTGTTAGTGTTCCTGATGCGGGTCATGTGTGCGTATTGCTGAAGAGAGTCTCAAACTAGGGTGAAACAAGGATGAGATCCACAACCTTTAGGTTTCTGGGAGAGCTTGTCCATTCAGCTACTGGATCGCAATTCAATGATCCATCAATTCGCACTACATATCGTGAATAGCAGAAGTTAAAATTCTTGGGTCATTGAATCTTGTCACTGTGTGGCTGAATGGTAAACGGAGTGGTCTGCTAACTTGAAGGTCTTAGGTTCGAAACCCGATGGGGTTCATGTGCGTGTGCTAAATGCTCAGGAGTTACAAAATTGTATTCCCCAAGTAGTTTTCCATAATTCTCTAACTGGCATAAATCAGTGATCAAACTTGGCACCACCAAATAAATTTCTATAAGCTGACACTTTCAATTATATGTCATTTGAATCAGGCAAGAACAACAATGGCAGCCTATGCAAAATAAAATGATACCATTATCCTTTATCTCTTTGGCTGCTCATCAGCTGCTTACAAGTCAAAGATATTAAGTTTATGTACAGGAACAATTTTAGCATACTTACATAGAGAGTTCATTTCTAAACGAAAAATCAATTAATCAATATATGCATACGATAATAATAAACACTTTAATTGGTGGATGGTGACTAGCAGGGAATCCAGGTGCGCATTTCGTCCTATTTAGGACTCGTCGGCTGGATTTACCTGCATATGATGTTCCCACCGAGGCTCGAACCCAGTGCCCATAGTTTAAAATGCCGAAGCGTTATCCACTAGACCAGTGGGGCCATGAGAGCCACCTTTTCTGCAACAGGTCATATTGATTGGCGTTTGAAACTATGGGCACTGGGCTCGAGCCTTGGTGGGAACATCATCACTCAGTGAGAAATGCAGGTACATCCAGCTGTGACGAGTCCCAAATAGGACGAAATACACATCGTGGCTGGATTCCACTGCTAGTCACCATCCACCAATTAAATACTAAATAAATGCCCAGACATCGTCGAAGCATCCGCACAAGAAACCGGCATGTCAACCTGAGACCGAGCACTTAGGTCCAATCAATCGACGGGAAGATCTAAAATAAACGCTTTGTCCGAAATAATAATGATCATACACAATGGAAACTTTCAACATTACGTAATCAGAAGAAAGAGAGGATGAAACCATTCAGTTACCAGGATGGACAAGTAAAGACTGATAGCTGCTTCTTTCTGAACCCATAAATCGGGTTTCAGGCGCTTGATAGAGATTGCTTCGGCAAATTCAAAGAGAATTGAACGCTTTTGCCTATTAATAAATTTGTACACTGTTGCGACATCCACTTTAGTACCCGTGTCAAGGAGATGACTGGAGATGGCACTGTTGAAAGCGTTTGTTCTCTTGAGACCTAGAATTTTTTGGTACATGTTCAGAAAATCGGAGGTATACCCATTATTCTGTTCTCCGAATGTAACTGCTCCCATAGATACATGTAAACTTGTGTACACAGTAGGAGTTATTAAAGTGAGATCTTTGATTGCATCAAAGATCACGTTGTTCGATAGACGGGAACCAACTTAACTGCAGAATAGGCTCTGGCTACTGACGTACTCAATCTTCTGTTGACTATTGCTGCAATATTTTCACGTATAAATGTTATTTGTTAAAGTGATTTTAAATTTTCCATGGATTGGACTGAAGCACCCTTGATATCTACTAGACATATCTGCTACCTTAAGATGAACACTTCATGATGTGGCTATTAGAATTAGAATAAGAATGCGATTTTCACTTTCCTACCTATTTTGGTCTTGTTTAATGGGTCGCAGGTACATTCAACCAAGAAATAGTCTCAGACAGGATAAAATACGTATCGTAAATTCGACTACTGCTCACTACCACCAACGCAGCAAACTACGTTCACCATATATTAGAAGCACAATTAGCACTTATCTTCGGGATTGTGCTTAATTGTCTTCTTTTTCTGTCTTCTATATTGTTTCATAAGCATCGTTCACCAAATTCATCCATCCGCTATACGATATTCTTGCAGATGATAGAGATATTTTTATTAGTTGGTATTATACTACTTATAAATCTTGTCAGTAGTTCATGTCGCAATGTTATTTGTTTGGTTGTGGCGACTACTAGCAGTTGAGGATCCAAATTGCACGGATTCATATCTATTTGGGACTCACCTGGTGGGATGCCGTTGCGTCCACTTGAGAAGTAGTTCCGGAAAAGACAAAACGCACCATTACCACCGAATGAGTAAAAAAGCACATGAAAGTTCCAGAGAAAAAAAAGGAGGGAAGAGTAGGAAGCCTAAATTGTAAAAAACAACGCCACTACTGCCAAGACATCAAAGCTTCAAGCTTCATGTTCTACACAAAACAAAAATGAAGGATAAAACTACTATTTTGAGAATTTTAACTAAGAATCCTTCGTCAATAGTTTTTGCTGTTTCACGTGTGATAATTCAGCTTTTGTTTTATTGTCATTATTATTGTTATTATCCCCTTGGGTTCCAAGTGGTACATAGGGCTTCAAGAATATAATTCCATTCTGTTACATTTTCTTCTGTTCTCTTCATCTGGCTAGCTCCACGATCACTCATAATCTCTCATCTCATCCTCCAACTCACATGATGATCTCCTCCATGTCACCGTAGGATGAACCACCCCTCTTCGCGCTTCTCATTGGGATTCCACTCTGTCTGGCAATGGCCTGTAGTAATGCTCACAGTCGACTGGCCATTTGATCTTCAGTATGTAAGCCAGTCAGTGAAGAGGTCAGCTGTTGATAAAAGTCTGTAACAGACTGCTGGAAATCCTTTTCGTGACACACACACACGAAGTGCAAGTTTCTCACCCGTATAGAAGAACTGACTAACTAACTTCACATTGGTGTGTTGAACAGAATGCGAATTTTGTTCTTTATGCTGCTAAGTGAATGAAGCAGAAGATTTTCAAACTGGATTCAGGTTTATTGAAGGCGTATTTCGCCGTTCCGATTATATCCTGCTTTGACGTTTTCATCTGTTTGCAGTGCCTGTCTTTGAATCTATGCTTCCTGGCCAGATAAGGTGTGGAATCAAGCTGTAATCAAAAATAAAAATGACTAAATTCATAGTATGCTTAATTACCAGATCAATCAGTACTCTACCTGACGGACAAGTTAACGTAAATGAAAACTGCTCAGTTAATTAGTATTATGGTCAGATAAGCAGTATATCTGAATAGAATAAAAGGTGACTAATATGTCTGGCTGAACTATGGACTCAGAGACTGCACGTGTGTTAATAGCACAAGAAAGGAGAACGAAATGTCGTTTTTTAGTCTAGGGAATGACTTGTTACCAGGGGATAGTCTCGTTAACTTAGAATATGCAGATGATATAGTCCTCCTAGTTGAAAACGCTGAATCGTAGTAGCCTTAAAAACCAATCTGCGAATGTTTTGCATGCGATTTGTTTATGGAAAATGTAAGATGATGTTAGAGGACTGGACTACACTGACTCACACCTAGCTTAAAAATAGGGAGTAAAGTGGTAGAGCACGTTAACTCCTTCACTTATTTGGGAAGTACCGTCAGTCAGTGCCAGCAGGTTGATCTCTGACGAAATATCAGCACGAATAGAGAAGGCTAGTTTCGCATATATGCCAGTTTACGCCATCTCTGACGTAGACGTGATATCCCAGTTGGTTGTCGACCAAAGGGTGGGTGTACTGCTCAACCGTCTCCTCCGTCCTCCTTTATGGTTAGCTGTGAGTGGTACATGGCCATTCAAAGTGAAGACATGAAAACACTGGCTAGCTGTCTTTGATCATATGTGTCTGCGTTCTGTTTCTCGTTTGAAGTGGTAGAATAGGGTGAGCAATATTGAGGCGAGGCATCGGACGAGTGCTGGGTAGGTGGGAGGGGAAATCAGTCGACGAGGTTGTGAAGTTACATCGACTGAGATGGTTAGGACATGTGTTACGCATGCCTAGCCTAGCCATCGCCATCCTCGACGACAGACAGTGTTAGCTGACATAGGTTCAGGTTCGAAAGGAGCCACTTTTGGTCAAACCAAAACATGGCTTCATGAGTCAATGAAATCCATAACAGTTAAAGGGAAGTAGGAAGGTGTAGACTCCTTGACTGGTTGGGGTCTTCGAAGGGTAAACACCAGTGGCTGGAGACAGTTTTCTAAAAATCGTTCTTAATTGCTGGTACCAACGAATTCATTCCTTGTGACTTATAATACCCAATAAAACTGTATTGTTCTTCGATATTACTATTCTTTTTGCCTCATATCTACGTTTACTGTGACTATTTGGCATTTCTTTTCTACTTTTCTTCTCTTGCTTTGTGTGCTACATGGAGGGAGTGTGGTGACTCTCGAACTGCTTCACATCGGTGCAAAGTTCTAACGATGTTGAAATCAGTCAGTCAGTTAGTTATCCTGTGTCAGCTAGTTAGTCTCTCTACAATCTATGTGTTTATCTAATTTATTGTTTTTATTTACTTATGTCTGCATGTTTTAAAACAAAAAAATATTTTTCTTTTTCTCCTGTAAAGGATGTCAGTTCATCACTCGGTTATAAACGGTGTACTACCTCTATAAAGGATTGTTGTCGTCATTTGCTTAAAATTGCTGATGTTCTCGTTTCCCTACCACATACAATTTATTATCGTGCATTAGGTAAGATTCTAATTTATTGATTAGTTTATTTATTTTTACATTTATTCATTCAATTATTGATCAGATTGCACGCATGGTTTTTGTAAATGAAGGGGGTGATGGGTTCGAGTTTCAATGAGGTTACCATTACTCACGCATTGGGGATTGTAGGCACATCTCTATCCAAGCTGATGAGTCACAAACAGGACGAAATGTCCTCTGTGGATCCAACTGCTAGCTACTAATCACTGAATAACGTCAATGGTGTAATCATCGGATATCGTCTAAGCGTCCGCACTAGGTGCTGACATGTCAGCAGGAGCTGAACACTAATAAGTATGTGTGTGTGTGTCCATACCTGTCTGGAGGTGATGTGAAGGGATCTTACTAGCTTGAACTGTAATAATGTAGGATTTTTTCATAAGTCATCACCAGTAATGCACTACTTATAGTCTCTTGTCAGTAGTACACTCTCCACCCCCGTCTTTAATCACTTCAAGTAATTAACGAATTGGTTTATTCCCCTTAGGAGTGATTTCGTTCCACGTATGTATCTGTGCGTGAAATTTCTATTACTGATAGCCGGCAGCTAGAGTTTTATTAACACAGCGAAGTGTCTAGTTGCTGAGGAAGGAAATGCATGGCAATCAATTGAAAATGATTCGTTTTTCAAAGCCCTAATAAACGACCTGGTAATGGCCCTGAGAGTGAGTGAGTAGTAGACTTCGAACAACTTCGAAGTGCAGACCATCATCAACAGCTGTCTTCGCTCAATACCACTCAAGATCAGATGATTGCTGGCCAGAAGGGATCAGCAGCAGGAATCTCTGGAAATGAACAAACCAACCCAACAGGAACGAATTGTACAACAAATATGCAGGAAGAAATGAAGGTGGATTGGTGGACATACTCTGAGAAAACCATCAAGTGAGTGACATCACAAGACAGGCCCTCGAGTGGAACTCGAATAGGAAGAGGCGAGTTGGTCTTCAGTGCGAAGATTAACATGGAGGAGGTGATGTGAAGGGGCAGATGAAAGCATATGGGCAGACGTGGAGGCAGGTGAAAACGTGGGTAGAGAACCAAACGTGCAATGGAGACGTTTAGCTGAAGCCCTATGCTCCTCTAGAAAGTAATGGAAACAATAATAATGTGACGTGTACATGTTGGTATGTTTCAGATGGTAGAATCGTAGCTAAAACTACATCGGAAAGGCTGTGTTCATTTTCCGTCTCATGTATTCTTGTATCTCATCTAGGTGGTAAGTAGTCAGCCCGGAGGTAGAAGAATCTCTCACCCCTGTTAAAAAAAGAACAGCCTTACTAGTAAAACTTGTTGCGTTCCACTTGGAATGCAAGGCAGTGTGGTATATAATCAACACTTCAACTGTTACATTATCGTCTCATATCAGTGTTTTTCATTTTATTCTGTAAGGATATAGACAAATGGTGTGTGCCGGATTTTTCACCTATACATACCCACTTTATTTTCATATCACGTACAGATTTATAGAAACAAAAAAGCAACAATAACAACAACTCCTGATTCCCTCACTACTTCCCATATATATCCATTGCCTTTCTTACTACAGATGTTTTAAAGATTAATATATAAAAGTACATTAGCGGGTAGTAAATCTGTTGTTTACGATATACAGCAAAAGTAAAGATGAATACGAGTGATAATGATAATAGTAATTTTGTTTTGTTGACTATTTATAACTTAGAAGTGATTAGACAGGCGGTCTAAATGTGTTCAACGTGTCGACGCCTACCCTTCACTCCTTTTTAATTTTTCAATTACTTTTCCTCGTGATGATCGAATCAGCAGTTGTCATTATTATTGTTATTATAAAACGTAGAAAGAATCTTGGTACAATATGGCACCAAGAAGATACACCACACAATAATAATAAAACAACATAGATTAAAAGTGAAAAATATAAGTAGAGAACGGATAAAGAACTTTATCAGGAAGAAAAACGGTCATACTTCCAAGCATGTTCTAGCAGTATTCGTCAACTATCATCGGGAAAGGTAGAAAGAAGGAAACTGCAACACAATCGCCATTGATTACGATTCTTAGCCATATCTGATAATATTTCAAGCCACCGATTAGAGCTACTTCTGGGACTCCTAGCAGGGAGTCGTGACGCACAAACCGATGACGCTAACCTAACACAAATATCCTTCATCCCACAATGCCACGTCATGGGCTGACCATCTCTCCACTTTTTCCATTCCGTCACAGGGTTGGTCAGTGAACAGAGACCTGTACGGAAGCCTGTGGGATAACATTCGCAACACATGTTCAAGCTACCGGAGCCGGTGTTTCCAGATGACAACTCTCAACGAATGATGATCTTTACTGTGCTCAAACACACGCCGCTGAACCTCAGAATTACTCACACGATGATGCTATCGAACGCAGGCAATTCTGCGGATACAGCGATGATTGAACACACTCAGCTCGGAGAGGCAAGGTTTCACAGGCGTAGAGCAAAACAGCACGCACTGAAGCATTGTAAACGAGGCTAAGGTCGCGACGGCTCCAGGGGTGCCTCAAATTAAAGTATCCCTCCATAGCTTTCACAACACGGTTGGAAATCTCATCCGTCAGCCCTCCACCAGCACTCATACATCTACCCAGATACAGGAACTTACCAACAACTTCAGGCGGTTCACTTGGAAAAGTGAGTGCAGGTACAGGCTCTGGTGACAGTACTTTGCACTTAGACGGTGCAAAGCACATACCATAATTACAGACATTGATTGGACCAGCAGTAGAATTTAGGGAGCACGTTTCGTCCTATTTACCATTTGTTAGGTGGATGTACCTCTACATTTCCCTGTTTTGTGTGATACACGGATGCAGAATCTAGCGTTTCAAACTCAAAAATGTAATATTACTCTGCCAGGGGAATGATTGGTATTGTGTTCGACTCTCAAGAGGGACACTATTATATGCTGGGGATACAGGTGCACTCATCTGACAAATCACAAGTAGGACGAAACGCACACCAGTCGAGCAACATCACATTTATTTCATGGCATTACTGATGTCAACTAGCCAACCAATACGTAGTTTAAGAAATAAAGGCAAACTGCTCTGTTTTGCCTCTTCCATATGTATCTATTAGTTTGACTGCCTGTGCTCGGAGCTAGTTACATAGGGCGTATTATCAGGCAAGTTCATCGTCGAATTTCTGAACACCCCTTCCCATCTTGATTTGGAAAAGCTAGACGCAGCTCAATATTAGCGTTCATCTCGGCGATACTGACTGGATATCAAGTCGACTTTGACAAAGCCTTTAAAGTTAATATATCGTATATCATCCAACCTCTCACCTCAAGGCCCATGATTATGACTTTTACATACAACAGAGGCAATCGGAACACATCTGAATAAGCCGAATCTGTGTGTCTGAAAGACATATACGTACAGCCCCTTTCTTTGTTATGGCCAGTTACATAATATGTGTTAAATTTTTTGAAAACGATTTTTCTCCTCCCCTTGTAGCCATCTTTTGACTTTGTTATTTTATTATGTATATAATTCTACCTAATTCTTTTAACCTGTTTGTATTTCACGTAATTCTCCTGAGTCATCCTATACTTCTTAGTCATCATTGCTATTTTACACATTCCTTGATTATGTAACAACTTGTTGCTAACTGCTACGAATTAACTTATCTTGAATTCCATAATTAATATTCACCCTAACCTCCTTCAAAATTTAGATATCTTTTTACCAATATCTATTAGTTATTTGTTTTGATGACCTTAAACCTCTTAATTTCACCCACCTCACCTATGCCTACCTAAAACTGGTTAACTAAAATAACCACTTGGTTGGTAAAAGAATTTTTACGTAAGAAACTATGCATTAGTGTAGAACCAGACGATGATGAGGAACTAATTGAAAAGGAATGCATATCTTCTTTGCTCAGTCTGTTATTATTGAAGCGTTATTCACAAGAACCAACCTGGCAACAGAGATGGGGATTCTAGTGCTATAATAAGTGCAATAAAGGAGAGATTAATAGATAGCAGCTACACAGATAAGGTATCTTGTAGTCATTGATGTTAAGTGATTATGAGTTGACGAAACTATACTGCTAAAATAAACTGAGCCCACTCGTCGGTGTACGTGTTTAACTTTCAGTCATTGTGTCCCTTCACACGATTACGTAACTACCTCCAATTTTTATCTGAATCAAATGTTGATAAACACCCCTCTCATTACGATTTATAATGTCTCTGTTTCTATGGTAAATGGTTATGGACGTTGTAAAGTGTCGGTTTGCGGGGGGAAGGGATGTGAATAATTTTGAGTTAGATCACGAACTGACATGAATTAGAGAGCCTTTGAAAAAAAACATCTCTTAGGTATACTGGTGACATCTGTTTGGTCCGAATTTGAGACTTTCCAGGCAGTACACGTCGGCGGCCTTCGACTCCTTGGATCGAAATGTACTATGTCAATGTTTGACTATGAAGGGAGTGCCAAGAAAGTACATTGCACTAATCAAGGCACTCTATTCAAATTCACGTAGTCGTGTAAGGGCTTATGGGGAATTGTCATCTGAATTGGTAACAACCAGTGGTGTCCGACAGGGATGTCCACCTTCCCCATTTCTGTTTAACTTCATCATAGATATGCTAATAGAAGTATCCTTAACTGAACGTAACGACTTAGGAATCGACTTGTTACCAGGGAGTAGTCTTATGGACTTAGAATATGCAGATGACATAGTCCTGTTAGGGGAGGATGCTGACAAAATAGAGCAGAGTCTTCTGAAAACCTTGATTAGCGAGCAGTCTTCGTATGTTTGGCATGTGATTCGCCCCTGTAAAATGTAAGACGATGAGGCTACAGGACTGGACTACGTCAACTCGTAGCTTAGTGATAGGGAGTGAAGTGATAGAACATGTTGACCAGTTCACCTATTTGGGAAGTTGTATCAACACCAAAGGGCTGATTGGCGACGGAATCTCAGCACGGATCCAAGAAGTTCGAGCTACTTTCGCTGACTTACACCATGTCTGGCGTAGGCGTGACATCCGGTTATCAACCAAGGGACGTGTGTACTGCTCAGGAGTTTTCTCCGTCCTTCTCTGTGGCTCTGAAACATGGCCAATACGCGTTGAGGACATGAAAAGGTTGACTGCTTTCGATCATAGATGTCTGCGATCTCTTTCTGACGTTAGGCGTAGAGTGTTGGGCAAAGAGGGAAAATCAATCGACGAGGCTATAAAGTTACATACATTGAGATGACCAGGTGAGGTGCTTCGCATGCCTAACCATCGCCTCCTCCGACAGGCAGTACTAGCTGATATAGATAGGTGCAGGTTGGCAAAGAGTAAGTGAAGTGGTGGCCAGACAAAAACATGGCATGGCATGAATCCATGAAATCCTTGACAGTTAAACTGAGTCGGTCGGTCAGGTAGGGAGATGCAGACTCCCGGGTTGGGACCCTCAGGACTGACTCTAAGAATCAATGGCTGGAGACAATAGGCGGTGAGATGGCTCAAAATCGTTGTCAATGGTCAGCGTAGATGTATTCAGTCTCTGTAATCTTTCATATTCATTTCATTTCTACCATTACCCATTCTGTTTCACTTTTATACCTGTCAAACTCTATTGATTCTCTTCACTCATCTTCTTGTCAACCTTTGTGTGCTATTTGGAAGGTGGCAACTCGAACTGGTGCACTTCGGTGCCAAGTTCTATGTAGAATCCAGACAGACAGGGACAGACACGTCCATGACCCTCCCCACCGAGGATAGAACTCAGGACCTACAAGTTGACTTTTTATCCACACGGGGTGGAATCCAACTGCCTATAAATTTTGCTGACCCCTCTATATTCAATGTTTTTTTTTATTTCCTTACGTCCTGAGTGGAACATAGGACTTCATGCTAGAGGTTTTGAAGTTTCAGTAGCAGTGGTTTTATTTTTAACAACTAACCTTACCTCTTTGTCGGCCTTACTACTGGCTTGGCGAGGTTTAAGAGTGCGTTGGTGGCCGGAGATCGAACCCTGGACCCTTTGGCGCATTGTTAGCGAGCTTTCTCTCGCTGAACCACCGACTCACAGAAGTTCCTCCGATGCCGAAAGCTGTCACCCGAACCCTTTTGGTGAAATCCATAAATCTTAACCAACTAGAAAAGTCCTAATGAAACTTAAATGAATTTTTCTTATCCTTAAAACGCTATTCTCTCTATATTATTGAAGTTTTGTTAAGGCTATAAATTGTATGAAGTAACAGTTAGAATTGCTGATGCTTAATTTAGTTTTTGTTCTCACATTTGAATCACTTTAATGATCTGATTAGTTCAAATCACACCCCTCCTCGCTTGGGCAACTACATTTGGTAGCATAGAGGAATATTATAAGATATCTGTTTCCCCGGGAGGAGGGGTTAACTTGTTACCAAGAAATAATCTCGTCAATTTAGAATATTCGGATGATATAATCTGTCTTGGCTAAGACGCTGAAAGAATGTAGAGTTTTTTGTGAACACCATCTTCATTAGGTGGTAGTCTTCGAATGTTTGGGATGTGATTCACTCCTTTTTGTCAAATATAAGATGATAAATGATACAGGACTGACTGGACTACACATTGACTTACTCCTACCTTAAAGATGGTCAGGAGTGAAGTGGTTGGTGAAGCGTGTTGACCAATTCACTTACTTATATTGGGAAAGTGGCATCAGTCAGCCCCAACGGATTGGTTATTGATGAATTCCCACCGACAGATACACAAGGTTCGTTCGGCATTTTGCCAACTTAAGCCGTCTATTGCGCAGGCGTGATATCCCACTGGTTATCTATCAAACTATGTGTATACTGTTCAACAGTTCGCTACACCCTCCTCCTTTATGGCTGTGAATGAGACACAATGGCCGTTCAAAGTGGAAGACATGAAAAGCCTGACTAGCTAGCTAGCTATCTTTGATCATAGATGTCTGCGTTCCATCTCTCTTGTTAAGTGTTGGTATAGTATAGTATAATAGTGTGAGAAATATTGAGTTGGTCAGGCGTCGAGTGCCATCGGGTAAGGAGGGAAAATCAATCGATGAGGTTGTGAAGTTACATAGATTGAGATGGTTAGGATAAGTGTGATGCATGCGATGACTAACCATCCATCGCCTTCTTCGACAACCATCAGTGTTAGCAGACATAGGTTGGGTCAGGTTGTTGAGATACAGCTAGTGGTTGGTGGTGAAACCAAAACATGGCGACACCACTTAGTGAAATGTAAAACAGTTAGTTTAAGCTAGCCAACCATGTAGGGAGGTGTAGACTTCCTAACTAGTTGGTTGGGTTCCTAGGGATGGTGAGAACCAATTTAGACTGGAGTTAGTTATCGGTGATATGCTTCAAAATCCTCGTTGCCAATGATGACATAGATGCATTCACTCTTTGTGATTTGTCATATCGAAAATCAAAACAACAAGTGATTCAGCGAAGAGACTCTTTTCAACAACGAATTCATCATCTAGCTGTACAAACGTATATACATATGTGGTTTTTAAGAAGTTATATCCGGTGAGGGAATTGAATCATAGATGTGAATGCATAAAATAATAATAATAATAATAATAATAATAATAATAATAGTATGAAATGCAATTAAAAACTAAAATGTTTATGACTATAATCATAGTTAAATGTCAAGTAGCGAAGCAAATTAATGTCATATATAGAATAATTCATAGGATGGATAGAACTTGAAAAATGATGTGCAATTATAGGATTAGTAGACAAATAGAATAAAATAAAAATGCAAACGTTACGTAATATTGTGTGAAATTCGATTACACAGAATTTAACGTTGTAAAGAAAGAATTGATTTAGAATGACAAGTGGAACAAGTGAAATAATACCGGGGACAGTTCAAAGTGAGAGTAGTAATAGTAACACAATTGACGTAATAAGCAAGAGTATACAAATTGAATAGACAAAATGAAAAAAAAATTGGTAGAGCTAAAATATGATTGGGGATTACCATATTTTAGCATAGAGGAGGGATTAAGACCATGAAAGTTGGAGAGGAGTGGTTGAACGAACTTTTTTCTGTACATAGAGATCTGGCTTTTCTGTTTCGATAGTCAAAGATGGCTTCAGCAATACAGATGAGTCGGGTACATAGGGATTTGGGTAGATTACTCTTTGTCTTGTAGATGACTTTAAAGGCCGAGAGCACAGCTTGATGATAAATTTCTTGTTGAAGAGAGTCTCTCCACTGTATCACTTGTTTTGATTTTCTAAATGTTACAATGGGAATTTCCCATGGGATTTGTCATATCATCCAATAAAACTCTATTGTTCTTCCAACATATTACCTAATGTTCTTTTCCCCTTACCCACACTTCTGTTTATTATCTCTCTGTCTTTTGAATCTATCTTCTTTTACTCACTTCTCTTGTTCTGTGTGGTACACGGAGGGAGAGTGGCACGTTGAAGTGTTGTACATTTTGTGCAAAGTTCTTTTTATGTAAAGACACCAATCAGTCAATCAATCACTAACGTTCAGTGAAACATCCTGTAGTGTTTTACTGAACTGATTAGGTTTTGTGTTACCGCCTCATAACTGTCTGTATATGTGTAGCCCACATAATAATGATCATGATAAGGATAATGTTGTGACGACAATAATTCGTTTAAATTTTCCTTTCCTTCTTTTTTTTTTTAAATGCCTATTTAGGTATCCTGTGTAATTGTGTTTGTACAGAATTAGTCAAGTGTATACTGAATTTAATTGATATTACAAAATCTGATTGTGATAATATACTGATCTTACTGGATCCAATCAGCAGCACTGTAAGTTATTATTATTATTGTTATCGTTACTATTATTGATTTTTGAAAACGATTCAAAGCACTGGACGGCTTCACATCAAAGTTGTTCAGCCTCTGTTAATTGCATTCTTGTTCAATAAGTTTTTCCGATTTTCGAAATTATCAAATCCAGGATGCGCATTTCGTCCTATTTTTCAGACTCGTCAGCCAGTGGATGTACCTGCATTTCCCAGTAAGTGATGATGTTCTCATCGAGGCTCGAACCCAGTACCCATAGAATGAAACACCAGAGCGTTATTCACATCGTCACTCACTGGGGAATGCAGGTACACCCAGATGACGAGTCCCAAATAGGATGAAATGCTCATCCTGGATTCCAGTGCACTGCCACTCACCATCCACCAATTCAATTTTAATTACATGCCATAGACATCGTAGAAGCATATGCACAAGGAGCCTCCGACATGTCAACCTAAGACCGAGCACTTCGGTCCCATCAATCGATGCGAAAGTGTGAAATTCAAAATTATCAAATCTTTCTGTAATAGTGAATGTATTTTAGCATGTGACTGGCTCCTGTTAGATGTAAGATGATGCTAAAGAACTAGACTATACACCGACTGACTTGTCATGGTTTAAGGATAAGGAGTGCAGTGTGGTTGAGCCTATTGACCACTTTAGTTATTTAGGAATATACCTTTTACCTTAATAGGACTGACTGCCGACGAAATCTCAACACGCATACATGTGAGATATGCGAACTTATGTCATCTCTGTCGAAAAGGTTATATCCAGTAGGATGCTATAACTGTACTGGAGTTGCTTGTGTTCTTCTTTATCTGTACGAGACAGTTTACTCCGTCTCTGGCATAGTGTGCGTCGGTGGCGCAGTGGTTAGGACTCTCGCCGACCATACACATGGTCCGAGGTTCGATCCGCTGCTGACGCACACCTGATATCTATGGTCGGCCTGCAAAACTTGGGCTACCGATATCCATGCTGAAAATTCCATACTTGTACCAAAAATACAGTTTAAAAATCAAGCTATAATCAAAAATAAAATAGTAGACAAGATATCCGGTCGGTTATCAACGAAAGGGCGGGTGTACTGCTCGGCAGTCTTCTCCGTCCTCCTTTATGGCTGTGAGCGAGACCTGGCCATGGAGAGTTGAAGGCATGAAAATATTAGCTGTCTTTGATCATAGGTGCCTGCGTTCTATCTCCCGTGTGAGATGGTATATCACGTCTACACCAGAGACGGCGTGAACTGGCGTATACGAAACTAACCGTCTGTATCCGTGCTGAGATTTCGTCAGACATCAACTCGTTGGCACTGGCTGATGGTACTTCCCAAATAAGTGAAGCGGTCAACGTGCTCTACCACCCCATCCCCTATTTCTAAACTAGGAGTCAGTGTAGTCCAGTCTGTAGCATCATCTTATATTTGGCATGAGCGACTTACTGACTGGTTTCAACGTGGATAGAACTTTGCACTGATGTGCACCATTTTGAGTTCTGACTCTTCTTGTAGTGCACATAACAAGATGAGAGACTAAACAGAGAGAAAGTAAACAGAAGCGTGACTGTGAGGAAACAAATAGTAATAATATGGTGGAAGAACAATAGAGTTTTATTGAATGATATGATAAATCGTCATTACAAAGAGTGAGTGAATGCATCTGCATCATCCATTGAGAACGAAGATTTTTAGCCAAATAACCGATATTCTGCAGTCATTGGTACTTAGATTCACGAGGACTCCAATCATCCAATGAAACTCTATTGTTCTTCCAGATTACTATTCTTTTTGCCTCATATTACCGTCTCTTTTGAATCTCTCTTTACTCTCTTCTCTTGTTTTTTGTGGTACATGTTGACCACTTCACCTACTTGGGAAGTTGTATTAGCACCAACGAACTGATTGGCGATGAAATCTCACCACGGATCCGAAAAGCTCGAGCTGCTTTCGCCAACTTACACCATGTCTGGCGTAGGCGTGACATCCGGTTATCAACCAAGGGACGTGAGTACTGCTCAGGAGTTCGCTCCGTCCTTCTCTATGGCTCTGAAACATGGCCAATACGCGTTGAAGACATGAAAAGGTGGACTGCTTTCGATCATAGATGTCTGCGATCTCTTTCTGACGTTAGGTGGTATAATAAGGTAAGTAATGTTGACGTTAAGCGTAGAGTGTTGGGCAAAGAGGGAAAATCAATCGACGAGGCTATAAAGTTACATAGATTGAGATGGCTGGGTCACGTGCTGCGTGTGCATGCCTAACCATCGCCTCCCCCGACGGGCATTACTAGCTGATATAGATAGGTGCAGATTGGAAAAGAGTAAGTGAAGTGGTGGCCAAACAAAAACATGGCATGGCATGAATCCATGAAATCCTTGACAGTTAAACTGAGTCGGTCGGTCAGGTAGGGAGATGCAGACTTCCGGGTTGGGACCCTCGGGACTGACTCTAAGAATCAATGGCTGGAGACAATAGGCGATGAGATGGCTCAAAATCGTTGTCAATGGCCAGCGTAGATGTATTCAGTCTCTGTAATCTTTCATATTCCTTTCTACCATTACTCATTCTGTTTCACTCTTATACTTGTCAAACTCTATTAATTCTCTTCACTCATCTTCTTGTCTACCTTTGTGTGTGTGCTGTTGGGAACGTGGCAACTCGAACTGGTGCACTTCGGTGCCAAGTTCTATGTTGAATCCAGACAGACATGGAGGGAGAGTGGTAACTCGAACTGGTGCACATCTGTGTAAAGTTCAGTCAGTTAATCTATTATTAGCTCTCATCTCCTCCCCAGACGATCTACTTCATGATATCGCTCTCTGAAGTCCAACCCACCGTTTCTCATTCAAGTCCCATTCGAACGAGAGCCAGGTGAGCGTTGTCAGTCAACCTTTCTCCTCAACGGGGTTTCCAGTCCATCTCTATTTCCTGATACATACTTGTTTGTAGGGCGATAGGTTGTTATTTGGTTGGTTTGTTACCCACCCCTGAGTCAATTGTTGTTTACCCTTTCAAGTCGGCCATGGAATCTTCAGTAATGAGAGAAGGTAGGCGTTGACCGAAAAAGCCTTCAGATAAGCTGGTTAGAAATACTTTCTGTGACATACTCATCACCGGATGCCTTTGACACCCTTATCTGTGCCACTTGTAGGTAAAATGATACTCACCAAGATGAGTGAAAGAGGATGTGACTTTTGCCAGATTTCTCCTATTGGTGGTGATTGGTGCAAAAATGGTCATTGGCAGTCCACCATCTTCATTACCTCTATCTTTCTTGTGTTCATCATTTAAAGTTATCCTTGGTGTCTACCTCTTTAATCAGTTTGGTGGTTTTCGTCTGTAGATCTTCAATTTTGTATGAAATCTGGCATAGATCATTCACGAAGTCCAGATCTGCTAGGGACTTCTTCTGTCGGTCCCAGTGTATGTCGATCTTTTCGCTTCCTGTTTTAATGGTCTTAGACAAGAGACTTGGAATTCGGTATCTCTATATAAAAAAATTATGCATACCTTATCTCCAAATCGTCACTTGTGCAGATCTTCCATGCTGTGTTACTTCAACCCTTCTTTCGTATTGTGTTTCTTTGTCTTTCTTTTTCATATCTCCTGAATGCCTGAATCATTTGCACTCTTTGACGCCCAATCTATCACTCCGCTATTCGATGTTTTTGTGCCGATGATGAACATCCCTTTGTATACTACTGATAAATCTTATCAGTAGGCATATCAGTGATATATAATAGTAGTCAGTCTTCTCGCTTACTTCTGTTTTTACTCTACTATATGTGTATACGTTTGTTCGTTCTGTATGTTCAAGTTATTTTGAAATTTCTACTAAAATTAATTATAAGGGATTGAAATGTTCGATTTCTGTCCATATGTTAGCTACTTGTGTAGACACTTCGACGACGCTTCTTTCTTAAGGAATAACATATCATTTAGTAGATGGTGGCCAACAGGGAAATCCACAATGCTGATTTCTGCCTATATGTGACTCGTCAACTGGATGTACTTGCGCTCCCAGTGAATAAGTAATGGCGTTCCCTCTGAGAGTCGAACACAGCCAGTAGCCTTCGTTTCAAACGCCAAAGCCTTATCCACTTAAGTTACAAGAGCCATCTTCTCTTTTACAACGGGTATCAATAATTGTTTGTGTTTTATCGATTTAATTTTTTGTACTTCTTGTTGGTCGATTATAATATTGGAGCAAAATTTCTGTTTGATGAAATGATCAGTTCTGAATTCATGTCTCACAGGGGGGGGGGAACTTCTTTATCACACTCCATGAAGAAGATTGCAGGCACACATCCACTTAACGAGTCCGGAATAGGGTGGGATGTACATTCTGGCTGGATTCCATTACTAGTCACCAACCACTAACTCGTAGGGGATAGCTGATTATTGGTTTAAGTAGTATACTTTCAAATCTACTGGGTATGCGCAGGGTTCCAAATGCCATTCCACTTATGTGTAATATTGAAAACAGTGGGTAGGAAGGTAGTGTCATCAACCTTCACATAATAATAGGGGTTTCAAACCCATGACCTTTCGGGATCCGACTCGATGACCAGTCTATGAATTCCAGCTTCTACCAATTCGTGATTTTAGCCCTACTGACACCAGTCAGTGTTATCGCTGGCGAGTACTTGTCCTCACACTCCACCGGCTTCAAACCCCAGTGGGTACATACTCCCGATGACTCCTGAACTATGACGAAACAGCTGCTTGTCCAGTACTCCCTGTTGATGTTATTAATCCTTGATCAAACTTGAACCAAAATCAAATCCCTACAAATAAATTCTTGAAAATATTATCAGTGTATTTACCCTCGTTAATATACAATTGTCCTACTTTTCCTTACTTCTCTCTCTCTCTCTTTCTTACTTCCCATTCTCGGTATCTGGTTTTATTTTAACTGTCCATCTTGTTGATTTACAATTCAAATAGTGTTAAATTCGCCCTCTTTTTTTTTAAAAAAAAGAGAGATTGATCGACTAACTTT